AGAGAGTTCCAGCTGTGAGAGGCAGTGGAGCACAATGGGAAATACATGGGCACTAGTGTCAGCTAGACCTGGACTCAAATTCCATCTCCTCTATTTATTAACTGTGTGACCTTGGGCCAATCACTTACCTTTGGTGGCTGTTCTGCAGATTCAATGAAATGATGTAAGTAAACCTCCAGGCATATAAAAATGCCCAATCAAAGGTAGTTGCAACTGTTGTTTTGGCTGGTTTTGTTATTACTATTATAGGGGTAATGACTACTGCCAGCAGATATCAATAAAGAAAAAAACAAATTTTAAAGGCCTCCTCCATTTATTAGCCAAATGTTTCCTACTTTTATTACTTACCATTTAATTTACAGCTATTTATATTTGCAATTAGCTTGGTAATCATATTTCTTACTCATGACAACTGGGTGAGGATGGTCAACATCATTATTCCCATTTGCTAGATGAGGAATCTTATTTATTTACTGTGCCAGATGACTGAGTGAAGATAGTTAACATTAACATTATTATTCCCATTTTCTAGATGAGGAAAAGGCAACATCTTCCATCTACTCTCTGTAGTTTCTATGATCCTATGATTAAAGCCACCTGCAGTCATGTTCATTAGTTCCCTATGAAAAATTATATTCAACATAGATGTCAAGTGTAGGAAAGAAGAATTAACAAGCACTTGATAGCAACCCCAAAATAACATCTAAATAATCACTCATGAACATCAAATTCACGGCAAACAAGTTCCAATTTAAATAAAGGTGTTGGACAGGATTAGGGAAAAATGAACAAATACGTCTTCTTTATCCACCTTCATTTAGGGAAATGTCTGACATAGCTTAGAAATTCTTTTTGAAACACAGACTGAAGAACTGTTAACTTCCTCTATGAAGGGTCTTCAGTTAGTAGGTTGCAAAAGATTGTGTCCTGATATTTTATCTTAAATTAGGGCTACAAAGTAGGAGAGATCCAAGATGGAAAGACCCAGTTCAGGGGTTCTCTAAAAAGGCCACCAGGAAGCCCGTGGACTCTGTGCAAGGGCCCATCACTCCAAAGACACCAAATACTCTCCCAACACTGAATAATGGCTTGCCCATAAATGTATCCCTTTTCATATGCATGAAATTTCCATGAATAAAAATATAACTGCCTCTAGAAACACTGCTGAATTTACAGTTATTATATATAACTACTATTGCATTGCGGAGAGGGGCTGAATTTTGTTATTGTTGTTAAAAGGAGACTTCATATTCGAAAAGCTTAGGAAACTCTACCCCAGTCCAAACATCTCTTTTTACTGACGTAGGCAGATCTTAGGGGCTGCTGGGACTCCAACCTAGGTTTTTTCATTCCCAGACAGATGTTTCTCGTCGCACACCATACACGCCTTCCAGTGCAGTTACAGACTCATGGGACGTTAACAGTCATGACTGTATCCTCTCTCTAATATCATCTCCTCTTTCTAAAGCAGGAGAGTACTACCCTCTCTCCGTGGATATGTTCCAGGAACTTTCTAAATCTCCTGAGCCTCTTCTTTCCCCTTTCTTCCCTCCCATCCTCAGTTTGGTAAGTTTAGGGTTAGCAATACACTCAACCCTTCTCAAGCTCAGATGCTCTGGAAGTGCCCTTTGACATTCAGTCTCAATACGAAATGGAAATACAATCACCGAGGTACTAAAACAAAGAATGTGTAAAGTATGTATAAAATCTGCATATATATGAGTGTATTTGTAGCTAAAACCCCACAAATATTTCCTAATACCTATGAAAAATAAGAAAGTGGAATACTCATGAATAATCGTTTTATTTACCTGGATCTGTCAATACCAATTGGCTGCTAATAAACCCTTTGCACGTCGACTTGTCAAAATGCTTTCACATTTATGATTTCCCTTTCTCCTGATGACTCACTCTGATATAAGTGCTGCTGGAGTGTCACTGGAACTGAAATTCCATGAAGAGAAGGAATTTATTTTATTCACTGTTCTTACTCCAGTGCCTAGAATAGCATCTGGCACGTGGTGGGCATTCAATATTTGGTGACTGAGTGAATGACAGAAGTTGACCAGGATGGTAGTTTCTATTTGCTGATTAATTTTTTGACTTCTTCTTTGAGAAAATTACATGAGTCTATAGGGGAATAATTGAGTTCCTAAAAATTTATTCTTAAAGTCTTCATCCTCTTGTAACTTTAACATTCTTCCCTCAAATATTATTAATGTAATTTTTCTTTTCTTTTCTTTTCTTTTTTTTTGAGATGGAGTCTCGCCCTGTCACCCAGGCTGGAGTACAGTGGCACAATCTCGGCTCACTGCAGCCTCCGACTCCCAGGTTCAAGCAATTCTCCTGCCTCAGCCTCCCGAGTAGATGGGACTACAGGCACGCGCTGCCATGCCCAGCTAATTTTTCTATTTTTAGTAGAGACGGGTTTTCACCATGTTGGCCAAGATGGTCTTGATCTCCCGACCTCGTGATCTGCCTGCCTCGGCCTCCCAAAGTGCTGGGATTACAGGTGTGAGGCCACCACGCCCGGCCTTGTTAATGTAATTTTTCAAGGTTATATAAAGTAATTCATTCATTACAGGAAAATCAGGTACTATCAATATATGGAAAGATGAAAATAAAAGGTCCTGGTGATCCCATCACCTTGGAACAACACAATTAACATGCTGATGTGTATCTTTTCAGACTTTTTTCTATGCAGTTCTACAAACACAAACACATACATATGAAACGTTCCCAAAAGTCTCTGCCCTAGACTTTGTGATTTTGGTTTTTTCCTTCTTCCCTAAACCCCTTTTCCTGACATAGCTCCTTGCCTTCCTTTTATGTACTAAATCTATTCCTTCCCCAATATTTAGGTCCTATTTCAAAACGATTTTCCCCCCTTTGCCCTCCAAAGGATTCGTCTGTTCTTACAACTTTGAACTCTATGTGGATGTTGTCTATCGGATCTTCAGTCCTCCCTTTTCTCTGGGATACCAGTGCTACTCAACCTCTACACATCTAACGCCCAATGCATCATGTTGCCTCCATCAAAACCAGATGACACACTGATCCTATTTCCATTAACTACCACAGAATTCTACAAGGTATCCTCAATAGCCATCTTTGCTTCCCCAACCCCACCACATCCAACTAGTGAAAACCTTTTACATCGCTCCTTCCTATTCTCTCTCACTCATCAATTCCCATGGTTGCCATCAGTGTTTAGGCCCTTGCACATATACTATTTTCTGCCTCTGTCTCGTTTTCTATATAACAAAAACCCATCAATGCTACCCACTGCTTCAACTTAACTTCCTAAAATCCCACTTATTTCTTGCCCTTCCTAAATTCAGAAATTTGTGGTTGCTTCCTTCTCTTACAAAATGGGATTCCAGCCTCTTTGTAATCTCACCTCAAACTACTTTTCCACCCTATTTCTCATTATTCCTGAAAGGAACCCTTTGCTCCAGTCAGGTTGGTGTACTCATTATTCACTCACCTCCAAAACATCTGACTGTCAGTTAAGTACTTATTAACCGTTTATTATGAGTAAAACCCATTCAATCATTCAACAAATATTTACTGAGCAGCTATTCCATCAGGTAATGTAATAATCCTGCAGACACAGTGGTGAACAAGACAGATCAAGTCGCTGTCCTCCTGGAACTGAGGCAAAAGGGTGATGGGGGAGACTCTTAAGACATGGTGGTCCCAGCCCAGGATACTCGCAATCTTCCATTGAAATGTCAAATGAATCAAGACATCCTGAGGGCTGAACTTTGCCGTCCAGGTTGCAAATGGGGAAAGACTTCAGAAGGAAGGGCTGGCTGGAGTGAGAGCTGGATTGTGGACATGGCTTCTCTGATGTGGGACTCAACCCGGGCACTCAAGGATGAGCACAGGAGAAAAGCAGGTGCCTTCCTTCCAGGGGTGTATGAGGAAAGGCAAAAAGGTGGAATGGAAACAACAGCAATAGTATCAGCTTATTTTGCATAAGGGTTCACTCAACACCTATTCAGAGCACATCCTCTGCCCTTGCACGGCCCCAGGCTCCGTGGTGGATGTGAAGGTAACACAGACTCAGATCCTACTGTCAGGGGATTTCCATCTAGCAAGGAGAGAAGGCAGGTTCATGATGCTCTATCACACACAGACAGTGAGACATTCCATAGAGAGCAGAGAGAACACGGAGGAATTTTGGAAGGTGCACGTTTGGGTTTGTATTAACAGTACTTACAGCATCACATTTTTATGCATCTGCACCCACACGTGCATGTATTGAAAATAACTGTGTTTCAAAGTGCTTTCTCACTCACTTCCTCGTTTTGTACTAAGTGACTTGGGAATCAGGCAGAGTAGGTAAGATGATGTTTTCCAGAGGGGGCAAAGTGTGGCACAGATCTTGTAACTGATCTGCTTGGGTAGGGAACATAAACAGGCGCGAGTAGAACAAGAACACCCTGTCCGTCGCCGCCCACTCCTGCAGCAGAGGAAGTATCTAGAACTGAGGACGCACACTAAATTCTGTAATCGCATGACACCTGGCAGGTACAATGAAGCCAGGAAGGCACTTCGGATTGAAAAGGGCAGGACGTAGACAGCATTCTGGAGAGGGAACATGAGCCAAGGCCATTCCCCCATTTCCGTTTTACCTCCCCAAGTCCTGCCTGAATCATCCCCCACCCTTAGATCTGCCCAAACCACAACCATCCCTTAGGGTTCGCCCCAAATATTTTCAACCCACACTGGTTTTTTTCATTCCATTGATTTCACCCGTACTAATATCCCAGGGAAGGGCGAGTGGCCGTTTCTCTCCTGGACATCGTAGCAGGCTCGGCCAGCACACGGCTTGGCTCAGAGCAGGTAGTTAATAAACATGAACCGAATGAAAGAATTCCTGAGATCGCCACAGCTCAGTAAGGATGCCCTGAGCCCCTACATCCCTCCCCCAACAGAGTGGGCCTGCCTGGCACGGGCGGCCTTAGCAACCCGGAGGAGCTCACTAACCGCGGAAAGCACAGGGGCACGTAGGGAGAGCAGGGTGGCCCAAGACGCTGGGCCACTGGGAGCCGAGCGCGCGACCCCAGCTGGAAGTCGGAGCTAAGGTTGCAGCGCTCCGGCAAAACGCGCTAGACGAGGTCGTTAAAAGATTTCCCCCTCTGGAAAATCGCCAGGGAAAAGTGGTGAAAAAGGAAGCCGGGAGGGCCCTAGTCTCGGGAGTCTATGAGGAGCCCAACCCCCGGACCTAATCCCGCAGGGAGACGAGCGAGGTAAGCTAGCGCAGAAGCCAAGCCATTCTAGCTCCAAGGAAAGGGAGCGGTTTTTGCCGCAGGAAGAACCTAGGTCTGGAAGCCTCGCGAGATCTGGGGGTCGGGATCACGTTGCGTTGCCTAGCGACAGCAAGGACGCTCGTGGGACCCCCGGCTAAACCCCGCTGTAGCCTTAAATCTCCTACCATGGGGGAAGAAGGCGGCGGCGGCAGCTGTGGGACCACTAGGGAGCTGCAGAAGCTGAAGCAGCAGGCGATGGAGTACTACCGGGAGAACGACGTTCCGCGCAGGCTGGAAGAGCTGCTCAACTCCACCTTCTACCTCCAGCCTGCCGACGTCTACGGGCACCTGGTAGGGACCTGGGACAGGCGCTCTCCTCCCGCCAACCCCGCTCCCCCCGCCCCGCGCTGCGGCAACGCCTTGCGCCTGCGCCTCAGAATCTAGCATGCGTGCCGCCGGGGCCCTGGTCCTGCGTGTGCGGAGGAGACTCTGGGAGGAAAGGAGCGGGAAGGACACCGGGGGGTGAAGGCATCTCCGCAGAGAAAGTCGTGGAAAGGAGGCAACTGGAGGAAAGGGGGCTCTAGGCGGATTTGAGCTGCAGCGACAGCCCAGGGCCTGTCAGGCTTCCTCGCTACCTAAGGGGCCTCTCCGTTTGTGGGCCGGGCCACCGCCCATGCCTGCCAATTGTCATTTTTAACAGACCTTAATGCCCTCAGCTCAGCTTACCGACCTTGAGCAGCTCCTCTTTGACCACGGGATGAACACCTTGACCACAGGATGAACACAAGTTTGCTACAACTTGGCCTCAGCCTATTCTGGGGCCTCATCCTACTGGCTCCCCTGTCAGGATGCCCGTTAATATCTGACCAGCCCCGCCCTGAACTCCAAAATTCAGACCAAATCCTTGCCCACGTGGCCCTGGACCAGCTGTCCTTCAGGGTTCCTACAGCATTTCCTTTGTGTATTGTAGTCCATTGAGGCAGCCTCCCTAGGCAGCCTGTGAGCCCCTGCTGGGCTCAGGGGCCTTTTCTTTCTACCTTCCGGGTCTCTGCCCAGCCGTGAGATCTGGCACATAGCTTAGCGTTAAACAGTGAGCAGTTGAAACAGACGTTTTCTGCCCTCCAGATCTGTAAGTAGTAAGGAAGGCAGTGTGTTTGGGGCCCCTAGGAGTTTGCACTATGGCAAGGGAAAGCAAGGAGGCAATGTGAACACCAAGCAGAATGACTCCTATGAAGAAACAGATGTGCTGTCAGGGTGCAAAACCACGTCGTGTTGAGGCAGTTGATACAAAGGATGTTCTGCAAATGACTTTTTCCCACTCATGGCCTATACTATCAAAGGGGAGGGGTGTGGGGTTTACCGAGCCCCTTGTGCTGCGTGCTATAACTCAATCCTTAGTACAACTGCGACAAGGTAAAAATGATGATTCCCATTTTACAAATGAAGAACCTGTGGCCAGTGCAATTTAAATGATTTTCCCAAAGGACATAGTGACAGAAGAAAAAAAATCAAACCATGTTTTTGTCCCTATACCCAGCAGAGTGCATGGCACACAGTGAATGCTGAGAAACTATCTGCAGGATGAATGAGTGAATGCTTGACTCTCATTCCATCCTCTTCCTACTATCTGTTGCTAGAGGAATTATTGAACACAGTCTATTCTAATGTCCTCATTTTACAGGGACACCAAGCCTTTGTCTCACAGCTACTTAGTGCACAAGCTAGGACTAAAAATATGAACTCTTGTTCCCCAGTGTAATGTTCTCATTCTATTAGGCAGCCAGGATATTCGTTTGTACAGCTCTCTGGGAATTTATATCTTAGTTTGGAACAAAAGTCACTAATACTTAAAATAATTGGAGCAAAAGATAAGGAGATAGATGACTGTGTGCTAGATTGAGGGACAGATCCCTATATGCCTATTAAAGGAATTCAGGGATGGAAAAGATCCTTGGAGGCTGTATATCCAGGAAAGCTGTGGCTTGGACTTTGAAGGATGTTCAGGAATTGCAGGGGCAAAAAAGCAAACTCCTTGAACCCGGGAGTTGGAGGTTGCAGTGAGCCGAGACCGCACCACCACCAGTGCACTCCAGCCTGGGCAACAGAGCGAGACTCTGTCTCAAAAAAGAAAAAGCAATCTCCTTTTCCTTTTCTTAGTGACTGCCCTAGTTTTGGCTGTGCTTACTCTCACCTCGTCTCTCCCTCTATCTAGTTCATCCTGCAGAGTGCTGCCAGAGCAGCATCCTAACGTGCAAGTCTGACCACAGTTCTCTTCCTCAGAACCTCCTGTAGCTTTCCCCTGCTTGCTGGCCTTCATGTGTATGGTTCACAGTGCTCAGCCCCTCTCTCTGGTAACAGGCGCATCTCCCACTCCCTGTCCTCCTCCTCTACACCAAATCACTGACTGTTCCCTAAAGCCAGAAGTTTCCTACCTCCCTCCCCTTTGTCCCATTCCCTGTCCCTGAAGTATCTGCTCACCACATTTCCCCCTTGACTGCCACTGAAACACTATACCTCCTCCAGTGTTCAGCTCCAATGTCATTTCTTCTGTCCCTCTCCGACATTGCTATGGCTTGGCTCTAGCCCCACCCAAATCTCATCTTGAATTGTACTTCTCATAATCCCCACATGTGGGGAGGGACCCGGTGGGAGGTAATTAAGTTATGGGGATGGTGGCTCTCATGCTGTTCTCGTGATAGTGAGTTCTTATGAGAGCTGATGGTTTTATAAGGGGCTTGCCCCCTTCACTTTGCACTTCTCCTTCTGGCCCTCATGTGAAGAAACATGTGTTTGCTTCTCCCTCCACCATGATTGTAAGTTTCCTGAGGCCTCCCCAGCTGTGCGAAACTGTGAGTCAATTAAACTTATGCTTTCCTTTATAAATTACCCAGTCTCAGGCAGTCCTTGATAGCAGTGTGAGAACAAACTAAGACAGACATATTAGAGGAATTCACACATGGTAAAGATCCTTGTAGGCAATAACAATACAATTTATTCCATTATCATAAAACTGAATGCTTGAGAGAGTTTTGGATTGGGAATGTGGCAGATCTGGTTTTGATTCTTATCTCTGCCACTTCCTCACTGTGATAGAGTTACATTGATGGTCCTCTAAGGAACTACACTTCCAGTGTGAACACCTTTTTGTAAGTCCCTCCCACATTGACTCTGGACTTGGCTATGTCACTTACTTTGATCAATAGGACCTTGACAAGCACGATACAAACAGAGTTGATAAGTGCTGGCATATTGAAGCTTGTCCTCTTAGAAGCTAGTCATCGTGCTGTGAGGATGTCCCAATTACCCTACTGGAAAGAGAGAGGTTGTGCAGAGAAAGACCCTGGCAGATACGAGACCCCGCAGGATATCCTGTGAGAAAGACAGATGCCCAGCCAACCCCTCACTGTGCCAGCCATCCCAGGTACAGCACTGGACATTGAGTGAAAACAGCTTGGATATGCTGGTTCCTGTCAAGCCTTCAGATGATTACATCTGCATCTCCAGAGAAGCCCAGCAAAAGAATTTCCCAGTTGAAGCCCCACCCAGATTACAGGATCATGAGCAAGTTAATGGTTTAAACCGCTAAGGTTTGGGGTGGTCTGTTACAAAACAGTAGATAATGAAAACATTGGCTAAGTGATCTTGGACAATTAATTTTTGTGAAACTCAGTCTGCCCATCTGTGGGATGGAGATGACATCACATAGCTTAGAGAGTTGAATGTAATGACATAATGTATATATAGTGCCCAGGGATGTCACTGACACTTATTAATTTATACAAGATTTAATTTATAGAATCCTATGTATGTCAGGCCCTGTGGTTTGTGATATAAAGAAGTCACTCTTTCAGAGCACAGATTAATTACTTTAAAAATGTTAGTTCCCTTCCTCTCCTAACACAACGTGTGGCACATTATAGGTGCTTGGTGCTTGTTAAATTGAGCTCACTATAACACACAGAGTATAAGCTAAATAACATTTTTGCTCTCCTGATTCTAAATTCATTTAGGCACTCACTCTGTAACATACAAACCACCAGTTTAAAAATTCATGGATAGCTTGAAAATGAGTTCTTGCTTACTACTTCTGGGGCCCCACCTCTGAACTGACATGTCGCTGTGGGTATTAGATGACCTGTTGTCCAGGTTGAAGTCACTGGATTTTGAACTGAAAGATAGGAGAACTGGTCTGCTAAATGAAAGCAAAGCCCAATCCTATCTGGTAATCAAGAGAGTAACAAAGGTGTGCCTTCGCCTTCCCTCCTTCCAGTCTCTCCTAGCTCCTGCTCCTCTGCACAGAAACACCGTCCTGAGCCTTTTCTTGCCGGCTCCTTGAGTGGGCTTTCTATCTCAGCTTCTCTTTCTTCAGTCTCTTTCTTGGATCACTTCCAAATGGCTTCTGCTTTTCCACCTCGATGAAACCGCAATTACTAAGGCTCCCAACAAGCCTCTTTGAACACATAGGACTCTGCATGAGCTGATAGTAAGATACAACCATTGCATTAAGTCTTCACCACTAAAATATCACATGCCTTGCTGGGAGGAATAAAAATGAGCCCATGTGCTGGGCACAGTGGCTCACGCCTGTAATCCCAGTACTTTGGGAGGCTGAGGCGGGCGGATCACGAGGTCAGGAGCTTGAAACTAGCCTGGCCAACATGTTGAAACCCCATCTCTACTAAAAATACAAAAAACTAGCCGGCCGTTGTGGTGCACGCCTGTAATCCCAGCTACTCAGAAGGCTGAGGCAGGAGAATCGCTTGAACCCAAGAGGCAGAGGTTGTGGTGAGCAGAGATCATGCCATCGTACTCCAGCCTGGGTGACACAGTGAGACTCTTGTCTTGAAAAAAAAAAATCAGCCCATGTCAGGTTTCTTAAATTTGAATGCATCATGGTCTTCTAGAGACCAGTTGGTTTCTATATCTTGAAACAAGGGGGCTGGGCACAGTGGCTGACGCCTGTAATCCCAGCCCTTTGGAAGGCTGAGGTGGAAGGATTGCTTGAGGCCAGGAGTTTGAGATCAGCCTGAGCAACATAGTAAGATCCTGTATCTACAAACAATAAAAATTAGCCAGGTGTGGTGTCGTGTGCCTGCGGTCCCAGCTACTCGGGAGGCTGAGGTGGGAGAATCGCTTGAGCCTGGGAAGTTGAGGCTGCAGTGAGCCATGATCTGCCACTGCACCCCAGCCTGGCTGACAGAGCAAGACCCTGTCTCAAAAAAAAAAAAAGAAAGAAACAAGAGGGATAGCTTAGTCAACTGAATTGACTATAAGAAGGCCTGCTAGCCTGTAATCCCAGCACTTTGGGAGGCCAAGGTGGGCGGATCACGAGGTCAAGAGAACAAGACTATCCCGGCCAACATGGTGAAACCCCATCTCTACTAAAAATACAAAAATTAGCTGGGTGTGGTGGCACGCGCCTGTAGTCCCTGCTACTCGGGAGACTGAGGTTGGAGAACTGCTTGAACCTTGGAGGTGGAGATTGCAGCAAGCCGAGATTGTGCCACTGCACTCCAGCCTGGCAACAGAGTGAGACCGTCTCTGCTGAAGAAGGCTGGCTAATCAGTGACACAGGGCCTTTTAATTAAGAAATGTATGCAAGTTTCTGTTGAGAGTTCAACATACACCAAATTGCCCCATATACCAGAGACTCAAGAGTGGCCTGAATCTGTATCTCAGTAGGTGAGGGCAGGGCAGTTCTCACAGAACTGCTAGTCTAATCCTGGCATCAGGAAGAACACTCATGGAGAGGTGTGGTAAAACAAGAGTCAATGTGAATGACTTTTTGAAGATAAATTAGATGTGGTATTGTGACTTTTTTCCCCAAGCACCCACTTGAACCAGCTGATTTTTGTTCTTTTGTGTGTGTTGAAGGCAAACTGCTTTTCTAAACTTGCAAAGCCTCCCACCATATGCAAAATAGTGGGGAAAGACGTACTGGATGGACTGGGGCTTCCAACCCTGCAAGTGGACATATTCTGCACCATTCAAAACTTTCCTAAGGTATGAGGCAGTTTAAGTGTGTTCTTTAATGTCCTGGCCCCACTGCATGTATTAGCAACTCTTGTCTAAACTGTAGAAAATTAACGTTTTGGAATTAAGTGTTTGTGAAATATATGTATATTTCATAGGTAGTCGTGTAAGCATGAATCATACCGTCAACCATGATGGCTTTATTATGTTTAAGTGTAATTTTGATACAGACATGACATGCTAACCTGAGCATGATCCAACATGGAGAAAGGAACTGAGGCAAAAATAGTTTTGTTTTGTTTTGTTTTGTTTTTTGTTTCTGAGATGGAGTTTCACTCTTATTGCCCAGGCTGGAGTGCAATGGCACGATCTCGGGTCACCGCAACCTCTGCCTCTCGGGTTCAAGCGATTCTCCTGCCTCAGCCTCCTGAGTAGCTGGGATTACAGGCATCCATCACCATGCCTGGCTAATTTTGTATTTTTAGTAGAGATGTGGTTTCTCCATGTTGGTCAGACTGGTCTCGAACTCCCGACCTCAGGTGATCTGCCCGCCTCGCCTCCCAGAAGTACTGGGATTACAGGCGTGAGCCACTGCACCTGACCAAAATGGTTTTTAAATTCTGACATTACTCACGTGATAGGTTCTATAAATCTACATGTAGGTTTATAGATTAGGCTATTTACCTAGATATTTATAGATGTTAGACTGACCTAAATAAAGAAAATAATTTAATAGTTTTAACAATTCATTTTAATTCACTTTGCTACATATTTGTTAGAAATAATTTTTGCTATAGTCTCTGGTAGGAGAAGAATAATGATTAAATCTGCATTTTTGTTGTTATTTATTAGAAAGGTAGTGATAAAAATGAAGTTCGACGTAGGGTTTTTCTAAGGGTATTTTAAGTGTTTTATGAAGCTGAGTTCCACAGTGTTTCAATAGCTATAAAAATATCTCAAAGAAAATTATATATTCTCATTCTCCCCTTGAAATTGGTGGTAAAATTTCGTGCATGTTAAAAGCTGGCTTAATTTCCTCTTTCTGGGAGAGGTAGGGAAAGTGCTGAATACATTTCTGTGATTTTCAGAACATATGTTCTGTGGTAATCTCGACTCACTTTGAAGTCCATGAAAACGCTCTGCCAGAGCTGGCTGAGGCGGAGGAGGCAGAGAGGGCCAGCGCGGTCAGCACCGCCGTGCAGTGGGTCAACAGCACCATTACGCACGAGCTCCAGGGGATGGCACCCTCTGATCAGGCAGAGGTGGATCACCTCCTCAGGTACAGTTTCCACTTTGAAATATAAACATCAAGAACAAATATACGTCCATTATCTTTCCATGTCACCTGCCAACTAAATGGGTCTGTCAAATCTATAGCATTGGGAAGTCAGTTTACAAAGCATATGTGAAAGCAGCAACATTTAGCATAAAATTTGTTTTTCTCCTGAAAACCCTGTAATTAACACCTTACTGTATAATGCTACATAGGGCTTTTCGGTCTCTTTTCATGTATAGAGCTGTTCTAAGACTTAGTAAAAAGCTTCTCAGAAAAAGAATCTGATTGTGAATCCAGAGGATGCCCTTTTCCTTCTCCCCACCTGTCACATGCCACCTATGAGCTTCTCATATCCTTTTATTTAGTCACAACAGCTGACACTTACATTCTGTCCTCCAGCCACAACTGAGTCTCCCATGCTTTGCCCATAGGTTGACTCAAACGCGCTAACAAGGAAGCGTTTACTAGGGCTATGGAAATGTTCTTCATTGCCCAACCAAGTAATGGGTTAGAATCATTTTTCTGTTTGTGCAGGTCCAATGCCACAACCCCTTGGCCAACAGAAGGCCAATTGGATTCTCTTTTCTTAAGCTTTGTCATTTACTTAATTGTGTATAACATTTTAGTTTGCTTCAGAGTAAGATAATGACCTTTGTAAAAGAAACCTTTTTTTTTTTTTGAGATGGAGTCTTCCCCTGTCACCCAGGCTGGAGTGCAGTGGCATGATCTCGGCTGACGGCAATCTCCACCTCCCAGGTTCAAGCGATTCTCCTGCCTCAGCCTCTAAGTAGCTGGAATTACAGGCGCTTGCCACCATGCCCAGCTCGTTTTTGTATTTTTAGTAGAGATGGGTTTTTAACCACGTTGGCCAGGCTGGTCAAGAACTCCTGACCTCAAGTGATCCACCCGCCTCCACCTCCCAAAGTGCTGGGATTAGAGGCGTGAGCCACCGCACCAGGCCAAGAGACTTTTTTGAATAGTTTTTGGTTTGCTTGGAGTTTCTGAATGCTATTCCTCTATTCCTTTTTTTTTTTTTTTCCCTTCATGTACTATTATCATTTTCTTAGTTTATTTATTATTTTTTTCCTCAAGCTCTCAGTTACATCTTATATTTTATTACACTCTTTTTTTTTCCTGGCATTTTCCCTCCCCAAATCACCCATCTGGACTGGTTCTTCTGTAGACCACCTACAGAGATGCCATAAAAACTTCATTGTTCTCCTGTTTCTGGATCCCACATTCTTTTCTTTCATGATTTGCTGGATTGTATCCTTTAAAAGTAAGGATGAGAAAGGGTATATGGGATGTAAAGTTTCTTGGTTATTTTATGTGTGGGAATGTCGATACTTTGCCCCCAAGGTTGATAGTTTAGCTGAGTATAAAATTCTCTGTTGAAATCGATTTATCTCATACTTTAAAGGCATTGCCCCACTGGCATCTGGATTATTAATAAATCTGATGCAAATCTGATTCCTATGTCTTTGTTTTTTATTTGCCTGGTTTTTTGCCTATAGAAGCTTTTAGCCTCTTCTTTTTATTCTGGGGTGCTGAAATTTTACATAAATGCATCTAAGTGGGATTTCCAAAAGTTTTTTAAAAATATTCATCTTAAGTGCCAAGAAAAAAGAAAGGAAGTCCTCTATATTTATATGCTATATTTCACTCTATTCTTGACACATTTGTTTTCTGACGGTCATTTATACAAAAAGAAAATACTGTAACCCACAATAAAATTACATCTTCAAGTTTTACTCTAAAAGTGCAAAACCAGGGCTCAATTAATTTAAAAATGAGCACCTGAAATCTTTAATCATTTATTTCCATGCCAAAATGAATTTCAGTTCTTGAATGCAGTTTTATAACAGCATCAGTGTTTTCTGGCTTTGAAAATTAAAGTTGATTTGTTCTTAAGTAGCTGAAAAGCAGTTATTTATTGAAATATATTGGGGTCAGCTCTAAAACATGACCAAAATCACAGAGTGATCTTCCTAAATATCCCACTGTAAAGCCATATTTTCTTGCCATTAAGGATATTCTTTGCAAGTAAAGTACAAGAAGATAAGGAGAGAAAAGAATTGGAAAACAGCCTGGAATGCTCAGCAGTGCCTACACTTCTACCTCCAGTACCACCGCCACCACCCCCTCCACCTCCTACCAAAAAAAAGGGGCAAAAGCCAGGTTGGTTGGTGACTTACCATCTTGCAGAGTCCTCAGTAACAAATGTGTGAGGAAGAAAGGCTGAAACTTGGACTGCCTTTCTGAGTCTCTTGGCTACAGAACCAGTTTGGGCTCACGGCCAAAAGCCATCCATCCTATGCCACGTCCTCACTCAAAGATTTTGCCCCTATCCCACTCTCCATTTTTATTTGTAAAATAAAACAGTTTCTCATCCAGAGGTGAGAAATACTTATTATTAAATAAGGTGCATTGAGCAGTGCCAAGTTGGGGGTGGGGTAGGAGGGGATGGCTTGGGAGACCTTTCACCTCCCTTCAAAATTTCCATTAGCTAATCAAAAAGCCACTCCATATCTTAGAGTTTTGATTCCTTTGATATGAACAACCAACATTTTCTCAATCCTATGTAAAATAAACATTTTCTTTACAAAACTTTATTTTAAAGCAAATAACAGAAATTATCACTTCAGTCTGCCTTTGCTGCATGCCTTCCAACAGATCGCTAACCTCAGCCCCTGCAGTACGGTCATTCTGGAGCTGCTCTTAGTATAATAACAGGGTTTTATATGTCTGCTGAACTAGAACATGCTCCTTGAGGGCATGAATCATGTTTATTCCACTTGCCATTGCCCGTATCTAGCATGATGCCAGGCACAAACCATACACTCAATTAATGCGGGTTTCATTGAGTAAGAAAGCACCAGAACCAGGAAGGGACCAAAGAGACCAGGGAGACAGGGTACCTTATTTCATAGATCCAGATGCTGAGGCCCAGAGAGGTGAAGAGATTTGCCCTGAGACAAAAGAATTATGTTTGAGCAATCTTCCCTTGGAAGGGTGGGATGGCCACTACTGAGTTATAAGTAGAGACCAACATGAATGTTCGTTTGGTGGTTGCTTTTGACTAACAGAACGTGGAACTTAAGGGAAGAAGTGGGAGGACACAGCTATTCGCTAAGCGCTCATTAAGCGTGAGGTGCTGAAATATCTTATCTCCACTGGGGACCTGAACCACATCGGCAGCTGTGGAGGAAAGGACAAGAGGAACACTAGAGATATAGATGATGGACTCTGTCTGGACCTCATGAGACAGGGAGGCTGAGAACATACTCTAGTGAAAGATGGGTAAGGCATCTGGGTCGATGGTTGGATCTGAAAGGCACTGCTAAAGATCGTAAATGACACAGAGCAAGGCATTGGTTTGGTGTTGGTGAGAAAGACAGCAGGGTTAGATATATTTATGCAGAGATGTTCAGCAGAAAATTGAGTGTGCAGTAGCTATGGTGAAATATAGAAAAACAAAGGATTTGAAATTTAAAGACAGTTCAAATCCTCTATCTACTTTCTGTTACATGTTGGGCAAGTCTTTTAACCCCTCTAAGCCCCAGTTTACGTATATGTAAATGTAGAATAAAAATATCTACCTCATGTGATTGATGAAGGAATTAATGTTAAATGGCCTAAAATGTCTTAGACTGGCAAAATCCATGGCTAATGATTATTTGAGAATCTTAAGCAAAACCAAACAGAAAACTTCTTGGGGGTTGAGGTAGAGCATTTGTTGTTCCCAGCCTCTGCTTTCATCCTTTCTTTTTCCTGGATCTTTCCATCTGTAAGTAAAGCATTTAGAAATACAGTCTTAACTCTCTCAATCTTTCCCCCTCCAGGGAGGAAGGATACTATTACGGAGAAACCTATTGCACCTGCAGAGCCTGTTGAGCCTGTGCTCAGTGGCAGTATGGCCATAGGGGCCGTGTCACTAGCTGTTGCCAAAGCCTGTGCCATGCTGCTTAATAAACCTCTGTACTTAAATATCGCTCTATTGAAGCACAATCAGGTTAGTATCTATGAAGTTCCATTAAAAGGAGCCATGAGTATCTCAATATGGATGAACCCTGTTTCTCATTTTCCCTTGTTTTCCCCCTATTTCAGGAACAGCCAATGCTATTTATGCCTTTGCTGATGGTATCGCTGGTCAGCTGTGGGAAGTCATCATCTGGGAAGCTAAATTTAATGAAAGAAGTGATTTGTATACCCCATCCTGAATTAACAACCAAACAAGTACCTTACATTATGTCAAACTACCTTTTCTAAAAAAAAAAAAAAACTCCATAATTGATGAACTTTTAGTGGAGCTCCCTTGTGACACCAAGGGAGAGGGCATTAAAGATAAAATGAGAAAAAAATATTTTAGGAAATTAGTGAAGTGGGAAGAAAGACCTCAAACCAAAGGGAGCACATGTAGAGCATCTTAGATGTCTGGTTTCATTACAGCATTGGCTCACGCTGGTAACTCACAGAGAAGCCATGACTGAGAAACTCTGCAGACCTAGAAAGTGCTGGAAGGTTGTTATTTGGGGGCATCTTTATTTACTCTGCACTGTGCCCTGTGGCAGCAGCAAATGAAAGCTAGCACCTCCTAGCAGCCCACTCTGTTAAGTAAGAACTCCAGGACTTGCCTGGGACGTATGAGACTTTTAGTGCATGGGAGTGAAAAAATCTCAAGTTGCATGTTCACCACTCAGAGGTGTGCGAGGGTCTGTACTGCTCCTCAGTAGCCTGAAAGAGTCAATATGCCTCTTTAAATCTTCATGATGACCAAAGGTTCATGATCTATAGGAGATGCTTTCTAAAAAAGTACAGAAAACTTTCCCCAAGCCCCCTCCAGCAATAAGTTGAGTGATATTTTATCTTGGTGGAAATCAGTAAAAGAAAAAAAAATCAAGTTTTTTCATGATAAAGAATTATTTCTTAAAATAGTTATTGCCTTACAGTTTATCAGTTGCAGACGACTAGGATTTATACCTGGCTTATCATCTGTCAGACTGTATTCAGATCCTGGTGTCAGGATCTTTCCTTTAGTTAGTATCTGTTGAGCTGTTTGCATACCAGAGCACGAGGAGTGCCATTCTTTATCGGGTCTTCGTATGCAGATCTCATCATCACAACATGCTTTTCTACTTTTTAAGGGACAGTAGATTTATATTGATTTAGCCACTCTAATCCAGACTACCTTGGTGATCTGTGACATGTATTGTAGGAAAGTTGTCTAGGTTGGCCCGGCGTGGTGGCTCACACCTGTAATTCCAGCACTTTGGGAGGCTGAGACGGGAGGATAGCCTGAGGTCAGGACTTTGAGACCAGCCTGGACAGCATGGCAACACCCCGTCTCTGTTAAAAATACAAAAATCAGCCAGGCATGGTGGTGCATGCCTATCATCCCAGTTACTCGGGAGGTTGAGGCAAGAGAATTGCTTGAACAATTTGGAGTTTGCAGTAAGCCAAGAACACGCCACTGTGCTCTAGCCTGGGCAACAGAGTGAGACTCCATCTCAAATAAATAAATAAATAAATAAATAATAAGAAGAAAGTTGTCCAGGTTGGTCCAGAGACCATAAAGGAGGATGAAGTTAACTTGATCCAAGCAACTGAACCAGTCAGTTCTGAAGGGTGAAGAGAGGCTACTGAGGGAGAAGAGCCTCTCATTCACATTCAACCCAATGAAAACTGGGACTGAAGATTAACATTTAATCTGCTGATTTTGTAGAGCATATCATCCACTAATCAGGGATTCTACAAATACTCTGAGTTAGAAATAGCCACATGTGTTACAAGTTTTTATACTTAAACTTTCTAGTCTGCAACTATGGAAGATCATGGTTGTTCTACTTACAGGGGGTCGAGATGCTTATGGAAATTCAGAAACATATCAACAAAATAATTGAAATGGTATGTAAAGAGATTCTACGGTATCTAGTTACTGACACTTAGACACCTTCTAGCATCCAACTTGTAGTTCATTTGGAATTAAATCAACTGTGGTTGATATGGAGAATGTATTTATTGGTTTTGGGTTTCCCCCATGAACCAAGTGTATCCATGTTCTCAGTGGCTATTGATCCAGCCTCTAATGCTACTTAACAATCTCATTTCAGTTTCTGGGGCAACAGGCTTTGTGCTAAGATCATCCCTTAGGATTTACTAAGAAAGAAAGGATGTGGCCTCCAGGACATGAGAGGCAGCTTGATGGAATGAAGGCACAGACTCTTGTGCCTGCATTAGGGTCCCCGTGTTGAGCAAACAAGGGCCCCTGGCAGAGCAGCCCTCTTGGGGGCAGTCACAGAGGCAGGTGTATGAGTCACCAGTTGTCCCATCGTGTTCTAAATGGGCAGTGCACAGTGATATGGCAGGGCTGAGGCCAGGAGAGGGACCCAATCCTTGTCTGTAGGGCTTTATACACACACATACACACACACACACACACACACACACGACTTTGATTTTGGAATACTGCATTTACGGAAAAGTTGCAAAGATAGTACAGACAGTTCCTGAATACCTCTCACCCAGTTTCCCCCAATGTTAATGACATATTACATGGTACATTTGTCAAAACTAAGAAACCAAAATGGTACACTACTAATAACTACAGACTTGATTCAAATTTCACTGGTTTTTCCACCAGTGTCCTTTTTCTGTTCTAGGATCCATTCCAGGATCCCACATTGCATTTAGCCTGAGGCTTTTAAGCTGCGTGATTAGGAAGCAGTAGGCTGAGGACCCAGTAGGATGGGGCTGGGATACAACAGCAGTGTAACATGGAGGAACTCTGGTTCTAACTCTGTCTCACCAGCACAGAGTGTGACTGCAGGCAGGGGGCACGGGCCCCTCCCCTGCTTCGATGGAGGTTGGCTGGCTGGGGCCCAGTCCCTGCAGTTGATCAGAATTGCTTTAAGCAATTCCAGGCTGGAGCCGGTTCCATGGTGCTTTTCAGGAGGCCAGCTGCTTTTCTGAGTGACCAGCCTGTAGAAACTCAGACTTGGACAAGTTAGCTCTAATGTTGCACTCTGCTTTGTCATTCATAACTCCGTGACCTTGGGCCAATTCCATAGCCTCTCTGTCTCGGGTTCCTCATCTATAAAATGGAGATGATCAGTATCCAAATCATGAGGGTGACTGTGAAGAGTAAACAAGTTTAACCTGAAACACGCTGCATCAGGAGCCAGTGCCACAGGAAGCCATACCTGGTGGGTTGTGTCAGAGCAGGTGAAGGAAACCCAGTTTAAACTATTAGGAAACTCAGGATATCTGAGCATTCTACAATTCATCCTTCTTAATTTCTTTTAAAAGTTTTTCAGCAGGGCATGGTGGCTCAAGCCTGTAATCCCAACAATTTGGGAGGCCAAGGCAGGTGGATCACTTGAGGTGAGGAGTTCAACACCAGTCTGGCCAACCTGGTGAAACCCCATCTTTACTAAAAATACAAAAAAATTAGCTGGGCATTGTGGCAGGCACCTGTAATCCTAGCTACTCAGGAGGCTGAGGTGGGAGAATCAGTCGAAACCAGGAGGTGGAGGTTGCAGTGAGCTGAGATCGTGCCATTGCACTCCAGCCTGGGCAACAAGAATGAAACTCCATTTCAAAAAAAAAAGTTTTTCTTCAATTCTAAAATCTTTCCTGACATTTTGTCTTTTAAATGTTTTATTTACTTTGTGACGACACAAGTAGCTCATGAATGTTCTTGTGAAAATTCAAATACTGATAGAGCTACCCACCCACAACCGCCTCCTACAGACCACCGCCCTCAGTACAGTCCCTTCTCTAAAGATAACTGTCGTTACAAATGGAGTGTGGCCTTCCAGACTTTTTAAAACAATAATTAAGTAGATAGGCCAGGAGTGGTGGCTCACACCTGTAATCCCAGCACTTTGGGAGGCTGAGGTGGGCAAATCACTTGAGGTCAGGAGTTCAAGACCAGCCTGGCCAACATGGCGAAACCCCATCTCTACTAAATATACAAAAATTAGCTGGGTGTGGTGGTGCACATCTGTAATCTCAGCTACTCGGGAGGCTGAGGCAGGAGAATCACTTGAACCTGGAAGATGGAAGTTGGAGTGAGCCGAGATCATACCACTGTACTCCAGCCTGGGCAACAGAGTGAGACTCCCTCTCATCGGGGAGCGGGGGGGCGGGGAAGATAAATGCACAACAGAGAACAGTGTTTAAAATAATACAAAAATTATGCACAGATCATTCTGCAAATTGCTTTACTTCTTTGCCCTTTTCATTGAGGTGTTTATCTTTTACTGCTATCTAGGAATTCTTTACATAATAAGGGATTTAATCCTATATGTATATATATAAATTTTTTTTTTTTTTTTTTGAGATGGAGTCTAGCTCTGTCTCCCAGGCTGTAGTGTAGTGGCGTGATCTCAGCTCACTGCAACCTCTGCTTTCCGGGTTCAAGCGATTCTCCTGCCTCAGCCTCCTGAGTGGCTGGGGTTACAGGCACCCAGCACCATGCCCAACTAATTTTTTGTATTTTTAGTAGAGATGGGGTTTCACTGTCTTGGGCAGGCTGGTCTCGAACTCCTGACCTTGTGATCCACCTGCCTCGGCCTCCCAAAATGCTGGAATTACAAGCGTGAGCAACCATGCCCAGCCAATTCTTTATATATGCTAGACCTATTTTCCTGTATCATGTTGCCTGCCTTTAAATTGTATGATATGGAGTCATACCGATTTTTAAAATTTTTTGATGAAGTGAAATGTAGCAATCTGTTCTCTTAAGGCAGTGACTCTCAGCCAGCAATGATTTTGCCCAGGGGACATTTGGCAAGTCTGGAGACATTTTTAGTGGTCTTGGCTTGGAAGGAGGGTTCTGATCGCATTTTGTAAGCAGGGATCAGAGCTGCTACTGAGCGTCCTGCAATCTACAGGGCGGCCCCCACAGCGGGGTAATCCAGCCCCTTGGGGGCTGGATTATATCTTAATTTCTTATGTATTATATCTTAATTATATCTTAATTTCACCTGGCCTTTATATCAATAGTGTGATGCAGGGATCACATTTCTGTTGACTTTCCACGTGGTGTTACATGTTTGGAAGCTGCAGTGGGATTCTTAGTAATAGCTCCAACTAGTTCATTCATGTTTGAAGGAAAAGCAGTAAAGCACTTAGAGAAAGTTCAGTATCAAAAACCATCACTATGCAGTCGAAGTCACAAAGTTTAAGTTGTTAAATAATATGTAGTGTAGTGGAAAGAGCACAATCTTTGAAGCAAATAGATTTGGTTTCTATTTTGGTTCTGCACTTATCAGCTGCCGCTTCGTGAGCCTCTTACATATCCTGTCAAAGCGTTGGTTTCCTCATCTGTACAGTTTTTAAATGCCTGCCTTGGCCAAGTGTGGTAGCACATGCCTATAATCCCAGCACTTTTGGGAGGCAGAGGTGGAGAGGACAGGAGTTCAAGACCAGCCTGGCAACATAGCGAGACCTTGTCTCCACAAAAATTAGTCCAGTGTGGTGGCATGCGTCTCTGGTCCCAGCCACTTGGGAGGCGGAGGTGGGAGGACTGCTTGAGCCCAGGAGTTTGAGGCTGCAGTGAGTTCTGATCATGCCACTGCACTCCAGCCTAGGTGACAGAGGGAGATCCTGTCCCATTAAAAAAAAAAAAAAAAAAAAAAAATGCCTGCCTTGTATGGGAGGAACCCTGAACTGCTGGGCTGCTAATAAAGGGTGCCTATTTATAGCATAGTAATTGAATATAGAAAGATGTTTAAATCCTTCCCAGTGATTACAGTGATAACAGAGCATTCCCAACATTACCCCAATTCTCCTATTAAGTCTTAATTTTAATCTATTTTGAGAAAAAAAATGCTGAAGAAATGGTATGTTTTCTTATGCAGGCCCCAACCCAAATATGTCTGTAGATAACCTTAGCTAAAGCCACGGTATTAAAACAGGAGATGATAGGAGTGGAACCAGGGTTACTGCAATCACCATGCTTTGTTTTAGTAATAAAGTGATAGCTCCTGATGACATCATTTGGCTGATGGCATTGATTAGCAGATTACATCATGCCAGATTTATTTTGGCAAACTCACTCTCCCTAGGAACTCCCGAGTAGACTAATTCTTACTAATGAAAGATTGTATTTGTTTCAGTTTTTAGCCATTTTTAAATCCACTTAGTCTGAGAACAGCCATTCTAGAATACATTGCATTTTTTTATGATTAAAAAGGCTGCCAGCCTGGGCAACATAGTGAGACCCTGTCTCTACAAAAATATTTACCGAAAAAAAAAAAAATTAGCCAGGCATAGCGGTGCACACTTGTCGCCCAGTTACTTGGGAGCCCGAGGCAGAAGGATTGTTTGAGTTCAGGAGGTCGAGGCTGTAGTGAGACATGATTGTGCCACTGCCCTCCAGCCTGTGTGACAGAGTGAGACCCTGTCTTTAAAACAGAAAAGGGGTAGGGGTGGGGCTGGAGATTTTAACTTCCATTATTTAACAGCTTATTCTTATTACAGTAGAGAGAAAGATGTTACAGGTCGTTTTTTTCCCTGGTTATTTTTTGCCGTTGCAAGGCCCTATGCTAGGTGCAAAAGGGGATAAAAACATACTTCCTGTCCTCAGGCAGCTTAAAAGTCTCAATGAGGGAGCATAAAAAACATGAGAAATCCAGTAATAATGCACACCAAGACTGTTCTTTAATGTTTGCCGTTCTGAATTGGTGCCAGTAATCACTGAGATTGTCCCCTGATCACATCACATGACTTTCTTTGCCCTTCTGTTCAGGGTCACTGTATGTGCATATAGTTGAGTGTGAGCCATGCTTCTGCTTGACAATCATGCCTCAGCTTACAGAGCCAGTATACGCTGAGCACGAAAGTGCATCCTTTAAAAGATTAGATCCTTGCAATAATATGCACCCAATATGCCAAATGTGGGAATGCCTCTTTGGGAATTACCTTTGCTTTTAACCTCATGACACTACACCCACTAGATTCACCAGATTTAATTACCTTTGACTGTTTCAAATCAAAGTCAAAACCACCCTGTAGGAGAAAGCGTTTGCATCCTGAGAATATTCAAAACATTATGTTGGGCCTGTAAAAGCAAATCCCACAGCGGGGTTAAGTCCTAAGGGCAAGGAGGGGACTTTGTATCCTCCTGCAGAAAAAGGGTGCCTGCACACAGCAGCAGTTCATGATATATGTGTGAATAATACATTATTTATATGCAGAGAAATGCATGAATCTGTATACACACCCCATATATGTGACTGAGGACAGAGGTTTGTAAGGATGAACTAAAGGAAACACATTCCTGAATTTCAGAAATAGTTTGTGGCATATAAAGTAGGGAATGGCTGGAATTGTCCCTATGCGCATGAGTGTGTGTGTGTGTGGGGGCGCGCACGCGTGTGAGATTCAGTGTGGCTGGTCAGGTCTCAGAGCAGTAGCTTTGCTTGCTGCCACAGCCATGCTAAAAATTTCAGGTGATGTATTTTTATCTTCTGCCCCACAGCCCTCTCCTCCAAAAGCAGAGACAAAAAAAGGGCATGATGGAAGCAAAAGAGGTCAAGTAAGTCTATATATTGTTTACCATCCTTCCATATGACACTGTTAATAGATTTCCTGCCCCTTTTTATCTTCCATAGTCACTTTTTGCTCCAAGTCCAGGACTGAGGCAAATGGAAACCATATAGGGATGTTGCTCCAGGCACCCCCAGAGCTGCAGTATCATGCTGCCCCTGCCTTCCAGCAACAGGCTGTCTGGCCATCTGGAATCTCACAGGGTTCGGAAGCATTGATGGGAAATAGGGTTACACTGGACCCTATGGGGGAAGTGTGTGGGAAATCGAATCTCTCTGACAACTAGCTGAAAGGCACATAGGATATTTTACATTTTATTATTAACAAAGAGAAAAAGAAGAAGCACAAAAAGATGGCTCTTCCTTCCATCTGGTCCCCCAAACACACTGAAGCATCATTTCTGATGAACCATTGCAGGAACTCTGATTTTGCCAGGAGAATGAGGCGAACAGTCCTCCTTGTCAAAACTGGCTGCGCTGGCTTCAGGAGCCTTGGGAGACCAGCGGAACTTGATCTGTCAGTCACCTTGGTGACTGTGAATGCTCTGATAGATGTATCTATTATAGCCTAAACTTTCAACAATATAAATAGAACAGCCAATAAGAACTTTGAAGAGCATGCACATGGGTGAAGGTTGCTCACATCTGCAGTATTTGATTTGCTCTGTGAGTGAACAATCCTTGCCCCACCTTGATGTTAGGTAGGTGAGAGTCGGCTGAAGTCAAAAGAAGAGGGGCTAGGAAAGAAAGGAGAAGACATGGCAGAGATAAAAAAATGAAGTTTCTTTTCAAGATTAGAAGAGAGAAATGTGTGAACACATACAGCACTAAGTAAAATACTGTCAACAGTTTGTACATGTTGGAATGAGCACAGTTGTCTAATATTAGGCCTTGCAAGAGGTGGAGATGGTAAACAAGCCACCAGTTCTCAGTGTTGTTCCTTCATTCCAGCAGGTGGTTCTCTGCATGCTGGGAAACTTAGACCAACATCAGCCCTCCCTGTAATCAGCTATACTACTACTTTTTTTTTTTTTTTTTTACCGTTAGAAACAGTCTAGAGTATAGATTCCAGAGAGGCAGCCACACAAGAACTAGGGGTATAAATTCTGGTGCTAAACTGCCTGGATTAAAATCTGGTCCAAGTTACTTAACTGTAAAATGGAGATCATAGTAATACCTTCATATGATGTGTAAGGAGTAAATGTATTTTACTTTATGTAATGTGCTTAGAACAGTACCTGGCATTTAGTAAGCACCAAATAAGTGATGCTTTCATAGTTCAGAAGGCTCTATAACCAAACTCAATTGATGGACAAAAATTTCCTCAACTATTCCTTTGTTTGCCAAATAAAAGTTTCCTCTCATTGATATTAAAATAGTGCTATCACCAGTCAAAACGGAATACTCATTGCCGGGTTCATGTTTGTCATTGAGTTTGGCGCAGACACACACACACCTTACCTTAAGCCCTCAGATTCATTGATATTGCTTCAATTTATAATTGCATAGTGGCAATTTATGGCGAGGGCATGTCAAGGCTGACTTTGCAATAGCTGTCTTTCCTTGGGGTTATGTGGGTCCTGAAATCATCTTCCACAAAAATCCATCTTCAGTATTGCATCCTCTTAGCGGAAGTCTGCAGTCCTTTTAAAGTGGCCAACGCCTGTAATCCCAGCACTTTGGGAGTGTTGAGCACAAGACTTCAAGACCAGCCTGGGCAACACAGCAAGACCCTGTCCCTACAAAATATAAAAAAATTAGCCAGGTGTGGTGGCATATGCCTCTAGTCTCAGGTTCTCTCTCAGGAGGCTGAGAAAGGAGGATGACTTGAGCCTGGGGAAGTCGAGGCTGCAGAGCCACATTCAAGTCACTGCCCTCCAGCCTGGGTGACAGAGCAAGACACTATCCCAAAACAAATAAATAAATAAAACTTTTCCTGAGGGAGGGTTATGCTTTTAACAGCTGCATTTATCTGGAGGAAAACAGAACATAGGAAAGAGCAGGTTTGGAGGAAAAGGACTGGCAGAGCTAGAGACAGACAGGATGGACATTTACAGGGAGGGCCTGGAGATTCACCAACCGGGTGGTTGTGACTCAGGCTAGCCCCACGTACAAGGAACAGCAGCGTCAATAAAGAGAGAACACAGACACACTGAAGAGAGAAAAGTGTCCTCCCAGGCTAAACTTGAAAACCTCAGAAGAAAATTACTCCCAGATACTGCAGGGGAATCATATGCCCTAAGTCATGTGAATCAATCCTAGGTAGGATTGAGAATCAAAGGACTGATCTTTGCAGAGCTGTATCTGATCATAAACCATGCCTGTCACAGGAAGCACCAAGAACCTTAATGAGGTGTACTGACATGCATCATTGTCTCTTGATCTTGTAGCAGCAGATCACTGGCAAGATGTCCCACCTTGGTTGTTTAACCATTAACTGTGACACCATAGAACAGCCACTGCTTCTAATACAGGAAATCTGTGCAAACCTGGGGCTAGAACTGGGAACAAATCTGCATCTAGCTATCAACTGTGCTGGACATGAGCTGATGGACTACGTAAGTTTCCACTTCAGAACATTCACTTCCTGTTGAGATCCATGATTTTTAAATTAGAACTCAGAGAAAAAGAGCTTATCTGAATATTGTCCAAACAGATCTTATTGTTTTTTGTTAATATTGTGTGAAGGATTCAAATATAAATGGAACTGAGAAAATCAAATTAGCTAATGACCACAGAATAACATAACCATAAAAAATTTTAAATAGACAATGTCATTATTATATATAGAAATTCTATAATAAAGATGAGTAAAATGAGTCACTTACATTGCAATCCTGAAAGCTACTGAAAAATAATTTAACAAACTGCATTTGGTTGATAAATGCTGAATTTGTCGAGCCTAAAAAGTGGATGAGTTGTAACTTATGACATGATAGGCCCTTCCAGACATGTAGTTCTTAGAATTTATGCTGTGACTTTTTAAATATAAAAACATTTCCAAGTTATTGAAGTTTATGAAGAATATGTTGTTGTCCAACTAAACACATCACAGTGTTATCCACAGCCTGGGTTAGGAGGACAGAGCCTTAGTGATATGATGAGACTCCACCTGGTGATCACCCACCTGAAGAGAAAGATTCTAAAAAGAGAGTGGAAAACAGGTTCATTAAAAAACATCCTAGTCGGCTGGGCATGATGGCTCACGCCTGTAATCCCAGCACTTTGGGAGGCTGAGGTCAGGAGTTCCTATCCCAGCCTGGCCAACATAGTGAAACCCCGTCTCTACAAAAAATGCAAAAAATTCGCTGGGTATGGTGGTGGGTTTCTGTAATCCCAGTTACTCGGGAGGCTGAGGCAAAAGAATCGCTTGAACCCAGGAGGTGGAGGCTGCAATGAGCCAAGATCGTGCCACTGCACTCCAGCCCAGACAATGAGAGTGAAACTCTGTCTCAAAACAAAACAAAACAAAAACAAGCAACATTCTAGTCTTCACTTCCTCAGGGTAATACAACAGCAATTTACCTTTAAACTTGGGAAACTGGTACGTTAGGAAAGTTACTAGTTTTCTGTCTTACACATACACTTACTGATATAGTTTGGCTGTGTCCCCACCCAAATGACATCTTGAATTGTAGCTCCCATAATTCCCATGTGTCATGGGAGGTAACTGAATTATGGGTGCAGGTCTTTCCCATGCTATTCTCATGATAGTGAGTAAGTCTCACTACATCTGATGGTTTTATAAAGGGGAGTTCCCCTGTACACACTCTCTCTTGCCTGCTGCCTTGTAAGACATGAGTTTGCTCTTCCTTTGCCTTCCACCATGATTGTGCAGCCTCCTCAGCCATGTGGAACTGTAAGTCAATTAAACCTCTTTCCTTTATAAATTACCTAGTCTCAGGTATGTCTTTATTAGCAGCATGAAAACAGACTAACACATTTCCCAATTTCAAATACACAAAAATGCTGAGTCTGCGTTTTATGAAATGCCCAGCATATTGCCAAGCATTTATGGTGACTTGGTGATTTATGTCAAATTCAGGGGACTTGACCAAATAGCATTCTGCTTTAACTGTGATTTTTAACTTTACAAAGAACATTTTGAACACTATATAAGAACCCTCAATTTTGGCTGACTTCTAAAAGTTCTTTTACTTTTCTAAAGAAACTAAGCACATAAAAGAATATTTAAAGTAATTTCCTATTCTTCACATAATGATTGGTTCCTAGACATACCATTAAGAAAAATAATTGCATGTTTTCATCAGCAACGTATACCAGGAACTATGAATATACTGACTGCGAGTGCTAACTAGAATGGGTATTTATTGCTTATATTCAGTAAAATGTATTAGTTTGATATCAGATAATTCTTACAATATTGTTAGTTCAAAATCATTAGTGTTTCCTCACTGACAAGATAGGGTTTTTTAAGCTTTGCATGATCGAAGTTAGAAGTTCTTGCTGCTTTTGAAGATGAAAAAAGTATGAAATCCCTTCAGTTATGGTCTTAGGAAACTGCTTAATTCCAGTGGAATCCATTCTATTATCAGCAGCAGGAAGGCATTAGCAAACCAAACAGCCACTCTGTTCCATTCCACCTCCCTCCCGGTGCCCAAATATCCCAGGTGCCATCCCTGAACACAGACTTAAAAGGAAGGGTGCTTTGTTTTGCAGAAAGGCTATTCTAGATCCTTCAGCCCTGTTTACTTCTATACTTAATGACTTAGGGGCTTCCCAGACTTCAAATGAATGTTGTACTAGAATTCTACCTTCAGGACAATATTGTTACTACTAGAAGGTACATGCTACCTAAGAAAGAAATGCCTCACATAAATCACATTACTTTTCATACTGGTTGTTAGTGTATCAAAAGCTAGCCTTGCTTTCAAGCTTTAGAATATTTACGGTAAAGGAAACAAGTTATTCCTTCAATGTGAGCTAAAAGATGGTAGGGTCTAGTGAGTGAGCAGGTTAGCATTGCTATTCTACTTATTTTGTGAATTTATGTTATTGTCCATCTACCCAGGCAGCCAAATCGAACAGATTATTCCCCTCCTACTCTGTAATTCTTGGTGTTTTGTGTAGGAGGCTCCATCTGAAGTCTGTGGGAAGAACCCTAGAGGGCATCAAAAGGAATGGTGACTTGATTTCCCAGGTTAATATTTAAGATATTTAAAGTAGAATGGACAGATTTCTCAGGTCAGTGTGACCTGAAAAGAACCTGTTTACAACCTCTTATATAAAATGAACAAAAGGGAATCTGAACCACTTCTTTGGGATTTGATGAATTCATTGTTTATCCCTTATTTTAATATTTTCCTGACACATATCAGAGTAAAGGAAAGTATGAAGTGATCATGGGCACGTACAAAAATGCAGCAGAGATGGTTGACCTGTATGTGGATCTGATCAACAAGTACCCTTCAATTATTGCCTTAATTGATCCTTTCAGGAAGGAGGTAAGCACCTTACCTTTCATATTTTATAACATACTTTATATGCCATAAGATAGGCAGGACTCACCTTTTATATTTTATAACAAAGCAGAGAATAAAATCTCATTCTTTTGGATCTCTGTCATTCAAAACGTTTTAATTTGGTCTGGGGCTGAGTTGCTTTATTTCAGCATTTATGAGAAAAGGCACTTACTAAGCAAATGAATAGAAAAAACACAATTACCTAGGAGTGTGCCTGTCTGGGGAATGAAACACGCTATTCGCAAGCCCTTCAGGAATACCTGTATATTTACAAGCAGCCTAACAGATGGAAGCTGCCCCTGCTGTGCAAGCTGGAGCTTCAATAGGTTAATCATATATCATTTTCATGTGCTCAGGGAAACAGGACTTCTATAAGACCAAATATTTTTCAACCTAAATCCAGTCACTATGTATGCATAAAAGTAACAAAGCCATTTTTTCTTTTCAGACAGGGTCTCACTCTTGTCACCTAGGCTGGAGTGCAGTGGCACGATCTTGGCTCACTGCAACCTGTCTCCTGGGCTCAAGTGACTCTCCTGCCTCAGCCTCCCGAGTAGCTGGGACTATAGGCGTGCACCACCGCACCCAGCTAATTTTTGGTATTTTTAGTAGAAACAAGGTTTCGCCGTGTTGCCCAGGCTGGTCTCCAACTCCTGAGCTCAGGCAATCCGCCCATCTTGGCCTCCCAAAGTGCTAGGATTACAGGCATGAGCCACTGTGCCTGGCCTGCAAAGCCATTTTTTTAAAGTGTTTGAGATATTGAGGTTTTATGATCTATTAAAACTCATGCATTTGACAAAGGCTTATGTGACCATCTTTCCTCTAACCAACTTACACTCCAAAATTTAAATTCTTGATTTTATAAATTTGAGAACCATCAGATAGATTGGACAGATATCTTCTTTGACATAACACAACTATTTCGATTTGGAGGACAATATAAATGCTGGTCCTCATGTGGAGTCCCAGGGTCTCAGTCCCATCCTCCCTTTCGCAGCCTCCATTCCACTCCAGCACACACAGAATGCACTGGCTGAATCTAATCTTAGCTCTTTAACCTTGCCACACCAGCCCTGTGATGACCGTCCTGAGGCTCTGGTCGTACTTTTTTTTAAGACAGGGTCTTGCTCTGTCACCCAGGCTGGAGTGCAGTGGCCTGATCACAGCTCACTGCAGCCTTGACCTTCCAGGCTCAAGCCATCTTCCCACCTCACCCTCTCAAGTAGCTGGGACTACGAGGCACACCACCACACCCAGTTAGTTTTTGTATTTTTTGTAGAGATGAGGTCTCGCCACATTGTCCAGGCTGGTCTCATACTCCTAGACTCAAGCGATCCTCCTGCCTCAGCCTCCCACAGTGCTGGTAGTACAGACATGAGCCACTGCACCCAGCCTTGACCACAGCTTTTTTCATGTGATAGGATGAACCTGTGTGGTCTGTTCTAAAGAGGTAAGTTAAAATCTGGTACAAAAGCTAGGATGACTGTGTATGTGTGTGTGTACACATATGTATGTGTATAATTTTAAAATAAGCATTTCATTTCCTATGATGGTCTCACCAATAAAAATAAGGGTGTTGAGAAGGGACTAGAGCCCTTGCAGGGTTTCTTTTTCCATTTTCTGTTTATCAGAAATATCAGAAAAATCCATTCAGTCAATCTTTAGCAGCATTATAGATGAGAGTGGATGGGAATAGCCTGGGTCTGAAGAACTCTAAAATCCACATAAGAAATAGCATTTAGTGTATTAACATTTTATTCACGAAACCTTTAAGCTCAAATGTAATCGCTATTAGTTTCTGTTTCACAAAGCTTCTTAGTTTGTGTGGCTGTGGTACAGGGATCATTCAGGAACAAAAGTAAAAGAAAATTGTTTTGTGCATCTCAGGGAAAATGTGTGAGTTTGAGTATGTGCTCTATTATTCCTGTTGTTTTGTAATTATGTTCAATGCATTATAATGATTGATTCTTAAATACTTACCCAGGACTCTGAACAGTGGGACAGCATCTATCACGCACTTGGTTCCAGGTGTTACATAATTGCAGGAACTGCATCCAAAAGCATTTCCAAACTTCTAGAGCACGGAAACATCAGCATCCCCAAATCCAATGGGCTGATCATAAAACACACAAACCAAACTACAATGTCTGACTTGGTGGAAATAACCAATCTGATTGACAGTGAGTAACAGTATACATCTGAAAGACTCGTAATGACTTGGTTATACAAGAAACCAAAAATACACAGCGTATCAAAGTCACTAAAAAGCATGGAAGAATCTTGGAAGTAAAGAAAGTCGAACCATTTGTGAGAGATTTAGTGCTGGAACACAAAATGCAGCTTACTGACTCACTTCACAATGTTCCACTAACAGCCCAAGTCCAAGCTGATCCCCTTTACTGAGGGCTACCAGAGGTACGGCCAAGGCCACTGCCCTGTCAGCTTCACAGTGGGGACAGCCTTTCTGCCTGTAACAGGAGGACTCATGGCTGATTTCTTATGAAAGGGCATAGCCTTCAGCACATTTATCAATTTGCTTTAGGCTCTGAGCTTGGGCTATAGAAAATCTTTAAATTTACAGAAACCTGGCCGGATGCGGTGGCTCATGCCTGTAATCCCAGCACTTCGGGGAGGCTGGGGCCAGCAGATCAGAGTCAGGAGATCGAGACCATCCTGGCTAATACAGTGAAACCCTGTCTCTACTAAAAATACAAAAAATTAGCTGGGCGTGGTGGCAGGTGCCTGTAGTCCCAGCTACTCGGGAGGCTGAGGCAGGAGAATGGCGTGAACCCGGGAGGCCGAGCTTGCAGTGAGCCGAGATCGTGCCACTGCACTCCAGCCTGGGCGACAGAGAGAGACTCTGTCTCAAAAAAATAATAATAATAAAATTAATTAATTAATTTACAGAAACCCATAGAGGTACCCCAACTCTTACTGCTAAAGAACAGATCTCAAATCCTGAATCATGCACTGTGGAACACCTGGCTACCATCTGCACTAGCCAGGCTTCCGGCTACAATGCAGTATTTAAGCTAAGAAAAATAGCTCACCATTAACAAAGCCAAGGCACCAAGCACAGCCAAGAAACAACAGGGGCAGAACATGTGTAGCCTGCATCACATTACCGCAGTATTGTAAATTTCCTATCATTTACTACCACTTTATGCTCTAGATTCTAGATAAGGAGTCAACATCTTAACAGGGACCACAGTTCTTTCTTCCACATAGGCATGGCTCAAGTACATAGTAAGGATGTAGGAATTACTTAATTGAAAAGGCCCCAAGTACATAGTAAGGATGTAGGAATTACTTAATTGAAAAAGCCCCAAGTACATAGTAAGGATGTAGGAATTACTTAATTGAAAAGGCCCCAAGTACATAGTAAGGATGTAGGAATTACTTAATTGAAAATAAACTTAGCTACTTATGATATATCCAGACACCAGTCGGCCATTTTAATTTGCATTACTTGGGGAAGTCTAGGAGGGATCAGAATTTGGAATCAGATCACCCACTGGAGGGAATGGTCTACTTGAGCAGTTTCGAAAACAGGCAACAAGATCAGATTAGAAGCAGTTTTCTGTCAGTACAGAGACCGGAGGCAAGGGTAGGTTCACTACTAACACGCAGCACAAGGAAGCTTGGCAAGGCAGTGGGGCATCAGGGAATCCTCGGGAAGGAGAACCTGGAGTCATCAAGTTGGGATTCAGGGACAGGATCCCAGCAATGGGGATCAGGGGATGACAGGTGAAAAGCAGGGCTCCAGTGTTGGTGCATCTGGGATGCCAGAGGAGAGCAGCTTTATTTAAGACCAATAGATCAGGCATTTGCGAACTGGACATAATCCTTACAGCATCCCTGTGAAGTAGACACTATCATTTCCACTTTATTGATAAGAAAACAAGACTTGGAGAGATTAGGTAAGTTTCCCATGACACTCTAGTCATCTCACTTGCCCACAACTCTTGACCACGTCAGTGTTCAAACATGCTGTTCCTTTGGACCAGAATGCTTTGCTCTGACATATTTGACTCTGCATCCTTCAGGTCTTGGCTAAAATGAAATGTCTTCAGCCACTCTTGCCTACCCCTATCCCTAACTGGTTCTGTTCTGAGTCTTCCTCCTAGCATCCTATATTTCCTCTTTGTAATACTGACTACAGTGACTTGTACAACTATCTAATGACTGGGGTCTCCCACTAGACTACAAACTGAGTTCATGGGCGTCTTGTACACTTATGCAGAGGGCACGAAACAAATACCATGAGTGGGTCGCAGGAACTAGACAGAAAGCTGGTCTCAGAGCTGGAGCAGAACTCAGAGCCAGACTGGCAGCCAGGGGTCTGGGTTGGTGCCAGAGGATGGAAGAAGATGCTCATGAGGGCTGGCCTGTGGGTGGTAGATGATAGATGGAGGCAATGCAAACACTGTCGCTGCAGGAAGAGCTCTGGCTGGCACTCTTCACAGACTGGCACATTTCAAAGGGTTCTGAGACCCTCAAATGATTGATTACTACCAACACTACTCTTCTAGTAAACCTTCAGAATGGCAGTCCTTTGAATAAAATTCTACACAATGACAAGAGAAAGCCATTATGTAGGCACAACTCCACATATTACTCTTACCATATTTCAGACTCAAAGATGCACATTTTTCTACAGTGAACATTTAAAAAATTGAATCGTGTCTTATAGCTGTGGTCTTAGAAATGTGTCCATCTAATTTGAGCATCCCCCTACCCACTTTTAGTGGTAAAAAATAATAGTACATCTTACAAATCATGTATTTTTTTTTTTTTTTTTTGAGACGGAGTGTCTTTCTGTTGCCCAGAGCTGGAGTGCAGTGGTGCAATCTCGGCTCACTGCAAGCTCCACCTCCCGGGTTCACGCCATTCTCCTGCCTCAGCCTAAGTAGCTGGGACTACAGGCGCCTGCAACCACGCCCGGCTAATTTTTTGTATTTTTAGTAGAGACGGGGTTTCACCGTGTTAGCCAAGATGATCTCGATCTCCTGACCTCATGATCCGCCCGCCTTGGCCTCCCAAAGTGCTGGGATTACAGGCGTGAGCCACCGCACCCGGCCATCATGTATCTTAATTTTAATGAAACACGATATTCATTTAGTATTTACAGCATCTAAGCTACTGAAAGTTGGGGGTAAACAAATAAAAGCAGGGCAATAAAAATGCAAATGTTAGAATCCTAGGTGGGCAAATAATTGACTCTTCACAGGGGAGTTTTAAATCTGAGAAATTTTTAATTTTGATCCCAGAGGTCCACATGTATGCTAACTTTCTACACCGTATAAAACTGAAAGAAATTCCTCTTCCAGGTAAGAAGCACATCACAGTCTTTGGAAGTACAGAAGGAGAATCATCTGATGACAGCCTTGTCGATTTGGTAAGTGCTGAATGCTGGTCAACTGCCAAACACTGCTTTTATCACGAATTGGTATTTCAGAGAAATGCAGTCTTTGGTGGAGAAAGTCATGTAACCTTTTATGAAATAGACTTGCTTCCTCCCAGACAGCTACCTTTTGCAAAGAGCTAATCTTTGAACTTTTAAAAAGAAGAAAAATTGAAGTCCGGGGAAAATGATGAGCACACTTAAATAACTGGGGTGTGCACCTGCAATCTTTCCTCCTAAAATGAAGTGAGAAAGGCCAGAATGTTCTTAGATAAAATCAGCATGCCTACGTGACTAGTAAAGTGCCTGATGGATAGTCAGTCACATCATCTGTTTGCCTTTCAGCACTCTCAGCTTGTAGGCCACTGTGCTTATGTAAAGATAAAAAACTAATAAGGGAAAAACCAAAACAGCACACCGTGACAGTTTCCTTTCTCCTTAAAGAATTGTCTGTCGTTTAGCAAGACATGGCTCCTCCATCTAAAATGAGCTCCCGCCCCCCTCTTTCAGGCTGTTGGGCTTGGTGTCCGGTTTATCAAGTTGGGGGGTCTTTCCCGTGGTGAACGAGTGACTAAATACAACCGCCTTCTCACTATAGAGGAAGAACTTGTCCAGAATGGAACACTGGGTATGCGCTGCTTTCTTGCTTTGTTTTCACTTAGCCATGAATAAGAGAACAAAGATTGGAAGAGGGGGAATAGAAGTCCCTCTGCAGGAGGGCAGGGGAATCCAAAGACCATACATAAGTGCTGACAAAACTAGGATGGCACTTGCCACAATGTATATTGTTGTCTTAATGGATCATCTATTTACCTGAATGTTTAAAACTCTCGCCCTTTTTCTTGATGAATAGGCTGCACGATGCTCTTCAATAGAATTAATTGATCGGAATTTCCAAGCCTACCTTTTGTTATGGTCCAAATTATACTTAAGGTTTCCCTGCATAGCCCATGAAAGTTAAAGGCAGACGCTTTCCTGGGGGTTCTTGGAAACAAACCGTTTTACTTAAAAACAAGTAGGCAGTGTGTTAATTTTAACATACCTTGGAAAGGTTAAGGTCTCAAGAGAAGGGTTAAGGTCTCAAGAGAAATAAATCAGTCATTTAATGAAATCAAACCTTTGTAAATCTGCATGGTATACTGGGTAACTGGAGAGAAACACACCAAATATGCATTTTTATTTTCTTGTATTACTGATTGTGATGGCCAAAAGGAGGCATATAGCATGCAGTGGCATTTAAAGAGACCAATAGAAACTGTGATTATAAACGTCATGTTTAACATGTGTAGCGGTCTTGAAATGCATCCTAGGATTCAGAAAATAAAGAAATAATTGGGAGACTATTTCTGAGTCACATAAGGGCAGTCAAAAGTTAGTCTGTGTTTAGTGTGTAGTAGAAGGGCTAGTTTTTTTTCAAATGGGTAAAATTAGACTGTTCCACATATCTGATTATTTTTCCTGGCATCCTGACTTGTGGAGGCCTTAGCTTCCCTGAATGACTGACGCCAGTTCCAGCCAGACGTTACCACGAGGTAAACAGCTGCTGCAGGGCACCCAAAAGGACTCTGGTGACCACAGGCTCCACCCCTCTCTGGTGACAGTGCAGCCCCCTCAGCATTCCACAATGGATTGACAGATCGAGGAGAATTTCTCTGACACCAGCCTTGGTGAATCATTATTAAAGGGACCCAAAACTGGAAAAATAAATCTCCCCACTCGCACTTTCGAGTAGGAAATCTTGGCAAAAGCTCAGCCATTACAATGCTGTCAATACTCACATGGAAGGACCTGACTGGAGCGGTCCTCGCCTGCCATCATTTCCCTGGGAGCAGTCAGCTGGCAGTGGCTTGTATCATTCATAATACTGGCCTTTCCCCCAGTTCATCATCTTCCTCTTAACCCTTCTGCTAAGCCTCTGCCCAAAGTCCATGATGCATCATCAAATGTTCCAGAATGAATGTGAGTGCAAATAAAATGGAACAGAACATCTGTATGGCACAATTAACATATAACCAAATACAGGCCCAGTTGTAAATGGTTCTGGTATCCTTTCCGATGGTGATGTGACACCTTTGGACTAGTACTGAAGATGATCGCCTTCAACTCATGTAATATATAAAGGCTGGCACCACTGGATTAGACCGTAAACTTTATTGTTACTTTTTTTTTTTAATAGGTTTCAATGAAGAACGCACTTTTTTTTACTTTAATGAGGAAGCTGAAAAGGCTGCAGAGGCACTTGAGGCTGCTGCGGCTAGGGAGCCGCTGGCACCCACCTTCCCCACACAAAGTGTAGAGGAATCAGCCGAAACAGGAGCATCCTCTGGATAGGGCTGTACACACCCCAGGTTCCAGCCACACCGTCAGTATTAGTAGACCGGGAGGTCTGATGTATGGCGCTGTGTCTCCACATCGAGTTTCCTCTTCAACTTCACCAACTCCTGTGGTTTTTATTCTTCTAATTCCACTGTTTGGTAAATTACATATATGGTGTTCTTGCTTGAAATTCTATCTGTGAACTTTGTTTTGCAGCCACCACACTTCCATGCAGATTTTGTCTTTTAGCTCTCCTGTCCGTTTTTCAGGGGCACGCTCCAGTAAAAGAGGCCAATATTTTTGTTGTCAACTCCACACTCAATCAAACACCCCATCCTTTACCAATCAGAACATCTCTGAGAACAAAAACCTAATGACCCTAGCAGCTCTCTGTGCTGGGAACAGATGTCCATCTTCTGTGTTTACTCTACATGTCTGTGCTGAAAAGCACCGACACATTTTTGTAGCCAACCTCACGCAGAAGTGCGAGAGCGTCACTAGTTTTTGTAACAGCCAAACAGTTTCATCTCACTTTCCTACCCTTAATTCCCTTTTCCCTAATTCCCTCTTCTTTTTAAATTTTAGTTTTTCTTGTATTATTTTTATCTTTGTGAGTCTTCTTAGATCCTTTTTGGAGTAAGAATGAGTATAAATGAATAAGCACATCAGTAAATGAATAAATATTCTCAAGGTTATTAAATGCCCAGTTATTTATACTACAGCATTTAAAAAGCAATCCGCGATTAAAAAAAAAAAAAAATGATGTGACATATCCGTCCCCTGCATTGCCTCTTTTGTAAGCCAGTGTTGGGATTATAGCAGAGGAGTAGCAGAAATAAACACAGTCAGACACAAACATAAATAGAATAATATCCAACCACTTTATATGATTTAGGGTCTCTGTTAAAAGGGTTACCATTTGCTTCTCCTAAAAATTATGTAAATTGCTATGTACTGACCTATAGGGGAGTTGGCTAAGTTTGGACTTCTGATAAATTCTATCATTTTTACTAAGCACACTGAAGATCTCTCCTTTTAAAGAGTACTAACAAGGGACCTTCATTTCCTCATAACGAAGCCAACTCCTTATTCTCAACGCTATCATTTGAAACTGGCTCAGGCGCAGACTCTCTCAGAGCAAGGGGCAGGAGACTTGGTTGGTGTCACTCTAAGTTGGAAGAACTGTGTCACGGTTTGTGGCTGCTACTGCCTCTCCTGATGCTTAGCAACAAACAACGGGTAGGAGAAACTGGAAGGAAAATTCATTTTAAAAGCAGAACAAATATGACTGGGTGTTCACATACCCTTTGAAAAATACACACACACACACACACACCCCATGAGAATATGCCCTGGAACAGTGATATAAATTATAATTAAATTACTAAAACCAGAGCAAAAATGTACAACGAATAACAAAATAACTAAATGAAATTAACCAAAGAGGTGATTTATTACCATAACCAGGCCAGCAGTGTAACTTCAACACAGAGCAGTTTACTCACCTATCCTCGAGACTGTGCTCACCAATGGATAATTAGCCTTTTAATTTAAATTTCTTAGGGTGCTAGGCACTCTTTCTATTTATGCTTTCTGTCTCTGTGTTATATAACATATAATATGAAATATATTTATATAATCGTATATATAATATTATCTGTGAAAGAAATGAAAGAAACAGTCATATCCCAAATTAAAAATGACTGTGGGATGGGGAAATGTCAGTGCTTGGAAGAGAAACTTCAAACCACTCCAATCCTTATGCAGGGACTGCTTGATGAGTCTTCGAAGGTCGGTGATAATGACAGATGGTTATCCATTCTCAACAACTTCTTGGTATATAAGCTAATGTTGTTCCACAACGCCACAAGGAATGTAACTAAACATGTAGAGTATGCATTTAGAAAAATAATCCAGACTTTAAGGCTGTGATACAGACTATCATTTACTGAACACACAACCAAAAACTGGTCTGGAAAGACAATGAACAATAATTGTTACCTGTACTGCTCCATTTCTAGCAGTTTACCATTAACAAAGAAGGTAAGGAAGGAGCAATTATTGGTGAGTAGTCAGAGCCAAAGCGTCCATCCTCCTTACTCAGGGCAAAGGAGGCTGGGTGCTAATAGCCCTGTTGATGTCTGCCAGTCAGAACTTCCATGGGACTGTTCAGCTGCTGAAACTACTGTGGGTGAGGACTTTGAGACCAGCTCAGATACAAAAGGGTGCAAGTGCTTTAATTAAAATCTTATTCTGCCAGAAAAAAAGAGACATTTTCTTTTTCTTTAATAGCAATGGCACAAAGTACCTCTACCTCTTGGCCTCACTCGGGCTATAAAATGCATCAACATTAGATTAAAAAAAAAAAAAATCCTCTATAGCACACAAGACTTAATTTATCTTTCCCAAACAGAAGGAAGCGTAAATAACCTTTTAGAAAAATCAAACACATAAAGATGCAGTCTCTTCCAACTTAAAATCGTGTAAGCAGGATGTATGTAAGTTTTGTGTGTACAATAGCTATGAACATACCTTGCAGATACAAGCATAGCTCTCCTCTGTCTTCCTATTTGCTTTGGTTGACAATGTCACCCCAGCCAGGGGCAAAACCCCCTCAAAACCAAAGTGAAAAGGGAAAAACTGTAGGCAGAAAAAGGTGAGTGGATATCTTACATCAAATACCTTTATGTCAAATTAATTTAAAATGCTTTGTAATCACAGTGAGAGAAAGTAAGCAGCTTAAAAAAGGCATGAACACTTTCAAAATACCTGTTACTAATTGTTCCCTAGTCCAGCTAACACATTTCACCCAAAGGGCAACTTCTTACTCTAGAAAGGAGGGTGTTTGGATAACCATATTATTCTGTTAGTGGTGTGATGGAATATGGAAAGACAGTGTGTATATTTTTATATTCCTAAATGTATGTGAGTTGCATCCTGGCAGACAGATCACAGATGCAAGAAGGAAGACAGCACAAAGAAACATGAAAGAAAACAATAAACAATCTTAGAGACTATTAAAAATTACTAAAGTTGTCAAACTGTATACAATTTTCTATTAAAGAATGTCAAGCTTGGGGAACTAAACCAGAAACGTTAATAATAACCACAACTGACCCTCAATGGGAAAAACTATTGGTGCCTTTTTAATAAGTTGTGGTGAGGAGAGTTCAAATTACAGGACATAACAGAATTTGTTTCATGAATTAATGCAGTCTGTAGTTAGCATATCATATAGCAGTATTATCCAGTTAAGGAAAGATACAGTTGAAAAACATTACATTTTAATTCCCCATGAGTAAAGTGATAAGTAACTGTAAAATCATCATTGGGAGAACATGGAAACAGTCAAGCATAACGAACTTACAGAAAGATAATTATCTCCAAATTTAGGAAGTACATGTACCTGCCTACCCACCTCTTCAAGCCTATGCTTACCACACGTGCAAAAATACAATACAATACAACTACTGCAATTATTACTATCATTTTCTTTTGCGCTTAGGTGAAAAACACCTGACAGCTACATGCTGAGCCATGCTAACAAAACTAAACCTTTCACTTTCTTTAATAGTAAAATTACCATTACTGAATCATTGTCATAAAAAGTGCATTCAAGTACATTACCACTTATTTTAAATAAACACCAATTTTGAAACAATCAACTTTGAAAAGCTGCATAAGTTTTTTTTTTTTAATCCCTGATTACATTTCTATTTATTCACTGTGGTAGCCTGAAACATTGTATTTTTAGAGACTAACTACCGCTTAATTTCTTTTTTAAAAAAACAACAACAAACCTGTGTAATACAGAACAGCAGTGAAGCAAGAAAAATGTGTGCTTGTCACTTATCTTCACTGTACTGTACCTAAGAACTCTGATAAAATATGGTACTTGTGCCACATTAGTATATGGGAAAACATAATTAACTCATAGCACAGAGCACATGGTTTACCAACATATTACTGTAAAATTCAAGGTTTGGACTTTCACCTCAGTTCTGTATTCAGGCTACCAGAGCATCCCCACGGAGGTCCTTGGGAGGCTTTGGGCACAATCAATAGCATGTATTTTTTCATCCGATAGTTAACAATGTATGTAATTAAGACTGACTATGGGACTACGAGTTTGATGCCAGCTCCTGAGTTTTAAGTTTATCTCAGTCTACCATAGAAAATAACTTGTATGCCACAGTACCCAACAATTTCCACGCTGCTGCAGTTTCTCCATCAAGAGGATCAGACCCAAACCAGAAGCTTCTTTGGGGGCTTTAAAAATCACATTAGGTTGATCAGTTTTGTTTATCCAATTATTTACAAGCACCTCAAACTTTCAGCATTCCATTTGAGGAGTGGTATGCACATTTCCTAAAAAGGTATCAACATCTGCATTTTTTTGTAACCTTCTAAAAGAAGTCATACTTAATACAGTAACTAGGAAAAAAAAAATCATCCTTATAAAGATCAAATAACCAAAACCTAATAGGAATGTGTTTTGCTAAACAGCTTACTTATGTTTATAGTTGCTACTTACAAAAGTAACACCAGAAAAAAACCTGTATTCTGAATACAGACACCAGAGCAGAATGTCTACAGCCCTTGCCGATACATCAACACTCATCACGTGCTTATTGAAAAGGACTTCCAAACATGTCAGGCCTCTGGTTTCTGGATCAGCAGTTGGAGCTGTCTGTCTCTCTCACGTTTTCAATGCTGTCTTCTTTGTTTTCTGGTTGGACTTTGCCTTCATCCTCCTTGTGTTGAGTTGGATCTTTTTCAGCAACCTGGTCTTTGGTTTGGGGTTCATGTGTAGAAACAGGATCTAAAACTACAACTGGTTCGACTTGTTTTTCACCGTCAATGTATTTTTTCCTGTATCCAAGGCTACTGGGAGGCCTATGAGATGAAGAGTTAGACAAAAAAAGTAAAAAGCAGAGAGAAAATAGTTGTCTCTGATATTCTGATCAACATAAAACCCAAAATGTTCTAAGTCTAGTCAACATGCATATAGTAGTCTTTGAGATGCCAGCCATTTAAAAGAAAAAGTGAAGCTATCGGATTACACAGCTGATACTAGGAGCACAAGGCCAGAAGAAAGAAGGCAGAGAAAAAGCGATTAACTACAGAAGTGTTACAAAGCCAAATGCACCTACCTGCTTAATTGCATTCTCTTCTCAGGAAGCGTAAAGCTCATGGACAAACTGTGAACCTCTCACGGCCTGCTGCCCAGACTCCCACCCGCCCTCACTTAGCTGGATGGAGCCAGTGAACTCCCTTCCCTCCTGCGTGTCCCTGGGTATGGCTGGTTGCAAGGTAGCCCTGAGGAGCCTGCATGGACAAGGGGAGTCATCACCCCTCATCACTGATGGAAAGGTGAGAGGCATGCCGGCTGCTGCTATTACCAACTAGAGGAGACCTGGTCAGACTTCAGGAGGGGGTGGCGGTAGGACCAAGGGCAGAGAGAGAGTCACAGTAGAAGCTAAAATGCTAAGTTACCATTAATGTTTCTAAAAGGAGAATCAGGTTTCTTGAGAAATTTCTTATGGAATTTCAGAGGCGGTTTTCCACAGACTCCTCCTCTCATCTCTTCTGCTGCAAGAAGCTATGGCTCCTCAGGCTGAATGGGTGCAGATTTCCTTATGGAAACAGTTATCTCTGAAACACCCAAAGGTTCAGGCTGCTGAGCTGCTGCCTGAAGATGGAGGCAGCTGCAGTGGGCAGGGCTGGGGCTCTCGGACTTTTCTGGTCTTTCTGGAAAGTGCTAGGATCAGGCCTTTTTGTCCCTGAGAACTGGCTGTTAACCATGACCTGGCACAACACCATGCCACCT